AAAAAAAAAAAAAAAAAAAAAAAAAGTATGCCCTTAACTCAGTAACTACAGTTTGAGGAAGTTTAAAATTAAATAATTGGAAAATGGGCAGTAAATCATGCCTACATTTTATCACAGTGTCAAAAAAGTTCCAAAAAATTTTATGCATCTCAAAAGTAAAGTAATATAATAACATAGTGAGTTGCCATTTAGCATCTTCTTCCAGGTAACATCTTCAAGTTACCAAGATTTTGCCACACTTGCTGGGATTTGTTGTTGATAATGTATTTTGAAGCAAATGCCAAACCTCAAGTTATTACATTCCCACATTCTTTAACATACACCTATAAAATACTTACATAAGCGTACTGCCATTATTACTCCTAACAAAATTAACACTAATCTCTTGGTATCATCTTAATATCTGCACCATTTTAGGATTTTCTTGATTGTCTCAAAAAGACCTTTCTGTGGTTAGTTCAAATCAGAATCCGAAGATCTTCCTTACTTTTATTTTTTTATAATTTTGTTTTATTTTTCTGAGATAAGGTCTTGCTGTGTGGTTCAGGCTGGCTTTGAACTCACTATGTAGCCCAAGCTGGCCTCAAACTCATGGTGATCCTCCTTCCTCAGCCTCCTGAGTGTTGGGATTATGGCTGTGCACCACCATACTCAGCTCACTATATGAGGTTTTTTGTTTTTTGTTTTGGTACCAGGGATCAAACTCAGGACCTTGCACTTGCAATGCAAGTACCACTGAGTAAAATTCCTGGCCCACAGTATCACTTTTAATAGCAAAAGATTGGAATCAGACAAAATTTCTCTTGAAATAGAGCTGATTAATTATGCCAGTGTCATAAAACAATAGTTATCTCTGAAAGAGGATTATAGATAATACGTTTTTATGTCGCCATACTTTTTCAGTCTTTCCCAAGTGTTCTGTACTGAAAATTACATGGGAAAGTTTTTTTTTAAAGTATTTTTCAGTGGATTTACTGAATTTGCTTTCCATATCTCACCCGCACCTCACTCTTTTTCTCCGTAATTCATCATTAATATCAGTGTCCCTTAATAATTTTCCCTTTTTTAGGTCCGAGCTCATCAGCTTGTTCTTCCACCTTGCGATGTGGTGATCAAGGCTGTTTCTGAGTATGTTAGTTCCATCAAAGACCCTTCAAACCTCGATGTTGTTGGGAAGGATGTTTTCAAACAGTCTCAGGTGAGCTAGTCTTCTTTGTAAGAGTTTTTTCTTACTTTGTAAGAGTTTTTTTTCTTAATTTCTCCAGCAGGTCTCTTGGTTTCTAACTCCTAGCTAGATTACCCTAAAAAGACATTAGTTGATCTGTATTGAAAGTTTGTTTTTTGTTTTTTTTACTTTTCTACTGATAATAAAAGTAATACTAGCCCAGTCTGGAAAATTCATAAAATAAAGAAACTTACTTAAATTCTCATTATCCAGAAACAACTTGGTATAGTTAACACTCTGGTATATCTTGTGTGTGTGTGTGTGGTGTGGTGTGTGCTGGGGCTCGAACGCTAGGCAAGCCTTCTACCACTGAGCTGCATCCTCCTCCCTTTTTCTTTCTTTTTTTTTTCTTTGTACTGGGGATCGAACTCAGGACCTTGAGGCAGGCAGTGGCACCACTGAACTAAGTCCCCAGGATTTCCCTTTTTCTTTTGAGACCTAGTCTTACTAAGTTGCCCACACTGGCCTCAAATTTTCAAATCTTCCTGCCTCATTCTCTCCAGTAGCTGGGATTGCAGGTGTGTGCCACTGTGTATATTTTAATATAAAGGAGGTTAATGAAGGATAAAATGGGTAATGAAAAAGACTACTTAAGATGTGTCCACATAAAATCAGAATCAAAGTTTCAATGATAGGGACTGGGGATTTAGCTCAGTGCTGCCGCCGCCTGCTTCGCATGTGCAAGATGCTGAGTTAAATCCCCAGTACCCCCAAAAAGTCTTTCATTGATAATAGTGGGAGAAATAGCTGAACTTGGATTTTATTTTACAAAATGAAACTAAAAATTATAAAAATAAGCTACTTTTTTGTGTATACCAGGAATTGAACTTGGGTTCTCGCACTTGCCAGGCAGGTGCTGTGCCACTGAGCTACATCCCCAGCCCGACCTACTTTTATTTTTAACAATTTGATGATATGTGCAACTTGGAGATTTCCACTTTTATTTTTTAAATTAACGTTCATTCTGACTTTTGTGTATGTTTGTACAGTTCTCTGAAGTTTTACCATAGTTACAGATTTGTGTAACTACCATCACATTCAGGATACAGAACAGTTGTACCATCCAAACTATCTCTCATATTATCCTTTTGTAATAATTTCCAAGCTCAACCCTAATCCCAGTAAGCATCAGTTCTCTGTCACTATAGTTATGTCTTCTAGAGAATATTATATGAATGGAGTTATATAGTATGTAACCCTTTGACAATGGCTTCCTTCATTCAACATAATGCCTTTGAGAGTGTTCCATTCTTTTTATGTATATTAGTAATTCCTGGTCTGGGGATTTAGCTCAGTTGTTCCTCTGCCTGTCCTGCAAGCACAAGGACCCGAGTTCGATCCCCGGTAGCAAAAAAAAAAACCCAAAACCTATTATGGGCCAGGGATTTAGCTCAGTGGTTCTGCCGCCTGCCTTGCAAGCGCAAGGACCTGAGTTCAACACTGGGTACCAAATAAATAAATAAATAAATAAATAATTCCTTTTTATTGCTAATTAATATTCACTGCATAGATGTATCAGGCAGCTTTCTCATCACTGGGACATGCTACCTGACACCTATAGTTTTTAAATTAGAGGTTTGTTTGTTTACTGATCGAATGATTGATTGGTACGGGGGATTGAAGTTGGGACCTTGCATTTGCGAGGAAGGCAGCATAACCACTGAGCTAAATCCCCAGCAGATTATGCAATCTTTTATTGAGAGAGGTGTATCAGCTATTGAACTCTCAGGACCTTGCGGTTATGGTGGCAGCACCACTGAGCTAAATCCCCAGCCTTATTTATTTATTGCTTTGGGTTTTTTGAGATAGGGTCTTGCTTTGTAGTGCAGGCTGGCCATGAACTCACCATGTAGCCCAGGCTGGTGCAAACTCACAATGATCCTCCTGCCTCTACCTCCCAAGTGCTGGGATTAACGGCATACACCACCACATCCGGCAGAACTGGCTGATGATTTCAGTGGATTCAGTTCATGGTTGGCTGGCTCCAAGGAAGAAACATGGTAGAGTGAGGGCATGGTAGAACAAAGCTGCTTAGTTCATGGGGCTGGGAAGCAGAATGGTGCAAGAGAGAAAGGGGCCAGGGACCAGATCTGGTACTGAAAGTCACACCTCCATGACTCACCCAAACACAGAGAAATGTGCTTTAATAATCCCAGGCCAATCAATTTGACACAATTAAAATTATCACAGCAGATCTGCCACACTTTATCTGTTTACCCCTTAAAATATATTTAAGTTAATTATAATTTTCGGTGGTTTTAATAGAGCTGCTATAAGGACTTCTGCACAGGATTTTATGTGAATATAAATTTTCACTTCCCTAGTTCAAATATCTAGGAGTGGTATTGCTGGGTCATATGGTAAGTATATTTCTTAATTTGTAAGACCTTGCTAAACCATTTTTCACAATAGCCGTTCCTTCGGCTGGGGACTTATACCAGTGGTTCTGCCACCTGCCTTGCAAGTGCAAGGCCCTGAGTTTGATCCCCAGTACCCCACCCCAAAAAGAACAGCTGTTCCTTTTATTACCTGTACTTGGTCAGTATTTTTAAAATTTATTCATTTTTAATTTTTATTTTGTAGTGTTGGGGTTCAAACCCATCTTGTGCATGTTACACAAGTGCTTGACCACTGAGCAACACCCCCAGCTCTCATCATGATTTTAATTTGCATTTCACAGATAACTAATGATGAACTTTTTTCTTATGCATAATTTGTCATCCATATATTCTGTTTGGTGAATTGTCAGTTCACCAACAGTCTTTTACCCAATTAAAAACCTAATTTGTCACTTACTGTTGAACTTTGATAATTTTTTTATATATTCTATATTCTGTGTATAAGTCCTGAGTCAAGTGTGGCAGTCCAGCCGTCACATCACGAACATGCCTGAGTTGGGGAGTGAGGATTGAGAAAGGAAAGAACACTCAAGCCTGAGTTGAGACCAAGAGAAGTCTGATTTACTTCACAGAAACAGCTCCTTTTAAAGGCACCTCAGCAGGAAGCACCAAGCAACTATTTGTATCTTATGCAAAGACCGGATTTTCTGACTCTTACGAAGAACATCAGATCTGTGGCTATCTCTTTGAGTTTCTTCCACTGCAGGGTCAAAAAACAAGTTTAACAAGCAGAATCCTTGAAAAGTAACAAATGTTACATAGATTGTATCAATGCCTTAATTGTAGAGAAAGAAGTTTCCTTTCAAATATCAAATGCCAGAGGGCCATGGCTGGACCCACAATTCCCCCTTTTTATTATATTTAGAGGAGGGACTTTCCCAGCTCAGCAGAAAGGCTGTGCCTGTCTTAGGTGAGAAATGTCTAGAGAAATCCCTTACCCGTCATCAAGCCATGAGAAGTTTAATACTCATGCTCTGTCTTAGGTTGGATATTTCTCTACATTTCTCTTACCCGTCTTTGACTACCAGCTTCTGCAGGGGTTAGACTGTAGATATTGGAGGCTTAATGTGCAATTTTAAGCCATGAATCTTTCCTGCCATGTTCATCAAAGATGAACTCACCATGCACACTAATATGGGTAATAAAACACATCCTAGTCATACTCTTATCCCAATTGCAATAACAGGACCTAACAATTGGGTAACTGATGCCATGGAGGGTAAGACCTCTTTTAACTGATTAATAAAATGCTGAGTAGCTTGTTCCGCATCAAACTTTAAGGAAGGGGCATTCGGTAGATCCAAAATATCTTGATTTAACTGTATTAAATCTAGGGAGGTATTTTGATTATACCAAATACCTTTCAAATGCCTTTGTATTTTACTCCAGTAATAGATGGAGTCATTATATAGCTTATTGGTTACACAAATCCATTGACAAGCAGGGTGACACATCAATCGAGAAAAACTTTCAGTGCCCGTATTTCTTCTTCCATAAGACTAACTTCATCATATAATGTATTTCTTTTGTTCTAATCTCTGATCGAAATCTACTTGAATAGTTACAGTATGAGTCACATTTTTAGCTAAAACATTAACATACTGAGCATCCCGAATTTCTTGTGCCAAAACAACTGCAGCAGTTGTGGCTGTAGCTATTACAGTAATAAGGGCTACAATCCCTGCAATAATCAATCCCATCACTTTTTTATCTACTTAATGCTTTCTCGATTTTCATTAACATTTGTATACAATTGGTAAAATTAGTTATAACAGCTGACATTATATTCATTATCATTCTCGTGCACAACTGAGACATCTCCCAATAATAACATATAACATATTAACACAAGACATTATTCTCTTTTTCTGCCTTTGTAATTGTACTTCTCCAAAGGCAGCAGCAAGCGTCCTGTTGATAGACTCAAAGTAGTAGAATTCCCATGGGACCAATCCATGAACTTTCGGGATGTGCCATTAAACTGTCATTCCTGAGGCACAGTCACATAACACTTTTTCCACAAAACTGTTTTATTACTCTCCCTTGTCTCTTCCTCACACAGGGGAACAGATTGCGGGGGCTTACCAGTTCCATTTTGTCCTTTTTCCGGATAGAAGATGGTCACATTTTGCTTTTTGGAATGAAATTTCCGCTTGTGCACCAAGACACACCCTGGAGTTTTCTCTGCTGCTTCAGTGCTGGGGTCCCAATCTGGTCTCCTCAGTGGAAACCCAGCTTCAAGCTGTTCAGGGATAGTGGTGGGTCTATAAGTGTACCTGTAACCATAAGTAGGTGGAGCAGAAGAGAAGGGAGAATACCTTGACCAAAAGGTTCTTATCATAAACAATACCCAAAAAATAGCAATAATAATTATAATTATATGAAATCTTAATGTCCTGTAATGTAGCTTTGTATCAACAGGATCTTTCCTTTTTAAAATTATTTATTATTTATCTATTTATTTTTACAGAAAATATTATATTTTAAAGATAACCATCATAAACATGTTACAGCAACATATTTAGAGTTCAGCCCTTTGATGATAACCAATGTAAACATCTTTAACAACATGTT